TTAGGGTTAGGGTTCATACAGTGAGGGCTTCATCTCGGGCAACTGCAGTCCTTTGAGAACAAAGAACACCTGGATGGGTCGGGCCATGGGGAACCACCTCCTTTTCCTTCAGTTCAGAGTCACACAGGTGGAGGTTGTTGTTGGGAGCTGTCAAGCCGGCTGACTCGTAGGAACCCAGGTCCAGCTGGAGCAGGCCCGTCACCCTGTGCCATCCGCAGGCCCTTGGTGTCACTGTGTCAGTCCATGTGGACGGGCCCTTCCTCGTTATCACTGAGCTGTCCCTCTCCGGGCCTGACCCTCCTGATAGCTTGTCCCTGCAGCATGACTTCCCCTTTGTCACCTGAGGTCACCCCACCAGTCAGAGTCCTGTCAGCCTGGTGATGCTGGACACTACACCCTAAGGATTTCTGCTATCGGCAGGGTCACCAGACTGGGCAGCCCTTGGCAGAACGTCCACACTAAGGCCAGAGGTCGCCTGGTTAGGTCAGGCCCACCCACGGCACGCTGTGGTCGCTCAGTCATCATGGGATGGCATCGAGGGAAGGACGGCACTAATCTCTGCTGACATCCCATGGTATTTCGAGGTCATGTCCATGAGGAAGGGGCAGCACCTTTGGGGCCATCGTGATGGCTCCCTTACTGTTCTAAGCATGTGACATGTAGAACCCTTTAGTTCTCAAAGCACAAGGTGGAAACCGGCCCCAGGAGGCCACGTGTCAAGGAAGAGACAGGGCCTGAACCAGGGGTCTGTGGAGGGGTGGGAAGGGAAGGGACTGGACGGGTCCCGGTCGGAGAAGCAGCACCGCGAGACGGCCAGTGCAGCATCCCGTACCGTCCTCGGGTCTCGGAATGTTGGAACGAACATGCTCAAGTGTCCTGCTTGTTTTTACTTAAAGTTCTATTTTCAGAGTCAGGACACCCTATTCAGCACATTCTTGTTTTTTAAATTTAATTTTTGAGTGAAGGTCTATAAATGCAGTGTTTTTTATATAGTCATTCCTAGGCGATTTGTTTTATAACATTGCCGCTGGTTAATGTGCTTACGTAAGTAACATCATGCGAGATGGAGAAGAGATTGACATTCTTAACAATTTCATCTTCGATCCGCAGTCGACACCCTTGTTACCAGCAGTCAGGAGATCCAGCGACTGAGAGTCTGCAGTCAGGGGTCTCTCCAAATTATTCAGGAGCAATGATGTCAGTTTGAAGACCAAGGTGCACCTGATTCAGGCCATGGTCTTTTCAGTCACTTGTTATGCATCTGAGGGTTGGACAGTGAACTAAGATGACAGAGGAAGAATTGATGCTTTCAGCTGTGGTGTTGGAGGAGAGTACTGAACATCACATGGGTGGCTCAGAGAACCCGCAGATATGTCTTGGAGAAAGTGCAGCCGGAGTGCTCCTTGGGGGCAAAGACGAAAAAGCTTTGTTTTTCTTATTTTGGGCATGTTGCTCAGGGAAGCCATTCCTTGGAGAGGGATATGATGCTTTGAAAGGTGGAGGGGTCAGCAAGAGAGAGCAAGACCTTCAGCCGCTTGGCCTGACACAGTGACTGCAGCAGTGGGCTCCAGTGTGTCAGGGACTGTGGGTGTGACGCAGGACATGGCAGCGTCCCATCTGTTCACAGGGTGGCTGTAAGTCAACCGTGACTCAGCGGCACCCACCAGCCACCAGTTCCTGAGTGTAAAGCCCCTGCCGGTGGTGTTTCCCCTCCCCTGGGGCCAGTTTGTCCCTCTGTCCCAGCACAGCCACCGTGACCCCTCCCGCTGCTGTCTGCGAGTTCCCCATTGTGTCCCTGAAGCCTCAAAACTAACGGTGCAATTGCTCAACGCCTCGCCGGGCTGCAGTTCAGGGGGATCAGCCAAGTTCTGGGGCACTGGCTGCAGAGTTGGGGTTCACAGCCATCTCTACCTTGACTTCTGGAGATATTATCGCTCTGTGTTCAGAGGGGAAACTGAGTCCCTGGATCCCATGGCTGTGCACCGTGAACTTCTGCCAGTTCAAGGCCACCGTCCCAGAGCTAAGGGTCCCAGGATCCAGAGTTTCCACCCCAACCCCAAATGGCAAGCGTTGTCCCAGGGAATGATGGGGCTGAGCTGTGAACTGTCACGTTGGTTGCAGGCTGGGGAAACTGAGGCAGCTGGGCCTCCTCTAGTGGGTCGTCCGGAATCACCTGCCAAGCGGGGGTCCCCCAGATATCACAGCCGCGCTGACCGCGTGCAGCCACCTGGGGGGGAAGTGGCCACGTGGTTTCCACAGTGGCTTTGCTGAAGCTCCTCCACCCCCCAGGTACGCCTTCACCGTGGTGGCCAATATCACTGTCTATGGTGCTGCCTGGCTCCTGCTGCACCTGGAGGGCTCCCCGCGGGCGGGATCCGCCAGGGAAGTCAGTGACCAGCTGGGGGTGGAAGACGTGCCAGTGTTCCGGGTGAGCGGGGGGGAGGAGGCGCACCCCCAAGTGTTCAACCTCAGGTTTCCCGCCTCCACTGACCTTTCCCCTCCCGGATTTCCAGAACCTCTCCCTGGTGGTGGTGGGCATTGGAGCCATCTTCTCACTGCTCTTCCACCTGGGCACCCGGGAGAGACGCCAGCGGCCGGAGGAGCCCGGGGAGCACAGCCCCCTGCTGCCCGCCACGGCCCGGCCCCTGCTGCTCTGGAAGCACTGGCTCCGGGAGCCGGCCTTCTATCAGGTACTCGGGTGGGAGGGCTGGCCCTGCCCGGACCCCACACCCCTCCTGCCAGGCCCTGGACTCTGTGGGGTTGCAGCCTCCAGGAAGCAGGCCGTGTGCATGTGCAGCTGGGTTGTCCTCCAGGCGCACCCAGGGCAGACACCACTTATGCCTCACTGTCCTTCCTTCAGTCTGACCAACCGGCTAACGGAGCACCAGGGAGTGCTGGTGCTCTCGTGGCTCAGGACCCGCTGGGCTGTTTCTTCCACTGCAGATTACAGCCTTTGGAAACCCACTGGAGGCTCAGCGTGAGCCCACAACCTTGGATCCCGTGTCTGCAGGATGCAATCTGCTTGCATTCCCTGCCTTGCTTGCAGGGAGGCTCTGCTCGCCGTGCCTGCAGCGCCCTCTGCTGGTGGGGCGCACGTGGGCCCGTGTCTAAACCTATTCCGCCTCCACAGCGCCCTCTGTGGGCGGGAGTGGGGAAAGGCCTGCTCCTGATTTCAGTCTCCACAGCGCCCTCTGCCTGCAGTAGTGGAGGAGGGCCTTGGCTTTAATTCTAACCTCCATCTGCTGGTGGGAGTGCAGACGGACCTACTTCTGATTCAAGTCTCTCTCCATAATACCCTTTGCTGGTGAAAGTGCCCTGTTTATAATTATATTCCTCCTCCAGTGGAAAAGGGCCCCACTTTGCATCCTGACCTCCTCCTACAGCACCCTCTGCTGCTTGGAGTTCAGATGCGCCCTGCTCCTAATTCTAGTCCTCCTCCACAGCGCCCTCTGCTGATGAGACTGGAGCAGGGCTCAACTTTTAATTCTCGCCTTCCTCCACAGTGCCCTCTGCTGGGGACAGTGGAGAAGGGCCTTGATTCTAATCCTAACCTCCTCCCACAGCGCCCTCTCCTGGTGGGAGTGCAGATGGGGCTCAGCTCTTCTAGCCTTTCTCCACAGTGCCCTCTGCTGGGGACAGTGGGGAAGGGCCGTGTGTCCACTGTAGGTGTCCCCTCTGTCCACAGGTGGGCCTGTTGTATATGAGCACACGGCTCATTGTGAACCTGTCACAGACATACATGGCCATGTACCTCACCTACTCCCTCAGCCTACCCAAGGTGAGTGGGTGGGATGAGGCTGGGAGGTGGAGTGTCCCCTGCCTGGGCAGCTGCCCTGACCCCTGTGCCCGGCTCCACCCTGCAGAGGTTCATCGCGACCATCCCCCTGGTGATGTACCTCAGTGGTTTCTTCTCCTCCTTCCTCATGAAGCCGATCAACAGATGGATCGGGAGGAATGTGAGTGGGGGCTGGGGGGCCAGGGCACCCCTTGAAGCCATGAGCATCTGTCTCTGTGAAGGGGGTCAGCCTTGCAAGTCCTATGGGGCAGTTCTGCTCTGTCACGAGGGGTCTCTATGACAAGAGGTTCCTCATGACCCGTGGTGGACATGAAGGGCGGATGGCTGGCCAGTCACATGGGATGTTGATTCTACAGAGCTTTGGGGTCCTCTTGGATATCAGCATTCCATGAGATTAAGGCTAGAGGGTCCTTCGGGAGTGGTTGGCCCAGACCCCCTCTTGGCCAGGGGAGGGCAGCGAGGCTGAGGATGAGGAGGGCTGTGTGGGCCGCCTGACACTGGCCAGTGGTCTCTCCAGCTCACCTACTTCACTGGCCTCCTGGTGATCCTCGCCTTTGCCGCCTGGGTGGCGCTGGCCAGCGGGCTGGGCACGGCCGTGTACGCCGCTGCTGCACTGCTGGGCGCGGGCTGTGCCACCATCCTCATCACCTCGCTCGCCATGACGGCTGACCTCATCGGCCCCCACACGGTAGGGCTGGTGCCCTGGGCTGGGGTGGGGATGGTGGCCAGGGCCTGCGGGTACCCAGCACCCTGCCCATGTCCCCACAGCACAGTGGGGCCTTCGTGTACGGCGCCATGAGCTTCTCCGACAAGGTGGCCAACGGGCTGGCCGTCATGGTCATACAGAGCCTGCACCCCTGCATGTAAGTGAACCCATTCACCTGTCTGTCCAGCCATCCATTCCTCTTTCATTATGTGTTCAACCATCCATGTCACCATTTATCCATCTGTTTATTCATTTGTTCCTCTATGTGTTCTTTCCTTCATTTGCTTAATAATCTGTTTATTAATTTCATTTCTTGTTCATGTAACTGCTTAATTTTTTTTGTTCATTTGCTGTTTGTCCATTGATTAATTCATCTATTCACTTGTTATCTTTTTCAGCTGTCATCTATCCATTCATTCATACATGAATCCATTCACGCACTTTGTTTCTTCACCCTCATTCATTTGCTCAGTGGTTCACTCATTATTTTCCCTTCACTTATCCATCTATTCATTTTTCCTCCCCTTAACTTTTTCATCCACCCATCTAGTCACCTGTCCGTTCATTCACTCATTGGTTCACACATCCATGTGGCCATTTGTCCGTTGATCCACCTGGTAGGGATTTGTTGAACACCTACTGTGTGCTGGGCTCTGCTGATACTCAGCCTAGCTCACTGTGGTCCTGGCAGGCCTGACAGGGACAGTTTCTTTATCCATTCAGTGGACATGAAGTGGTTGGGTGTTCCAAGCGCTGAGGACGGAGTGTGCAAATGAATCAGGCAGGCAGGGGGGCAGGGTGAGAGGAGGAGGAGGGTGGGTGACCTGGGGCCTCACGGATCTCAGATCCACAGAGCTCTGATGATTCTGGACCATGGAGACCACGGATTGGGGAAACCAAGGCTGATGTCATGGGGTGCACTAACAATCCCATACTGCAGTCAGTGTCACTGAGACTGGGGCCTGCAGACCACCACTGACCAGGCCTGACCAGGTCAGGGAGTCGGGAGCTTGAGAGCTCTGGGGCAAATGTGGAGGGTTTGCTGTGCAAAGGCCCTGGGTCAGGACGGGGCTCAGTGAGTGACGTGAGGTGACCGTATGCCTGGGAGGGAGGGAGGGTGAGAGAGGAAGACAAGGAGTGGACAGGCAGGGTGTGTAGGGCGCTGTGGGCACAGGGCGGAGGCGGACTGGACCTGAGGGAGGTGGGCATCCTGGAGGACCATGACCAGGAATGGACATGACTCAGTGCTTGCAGGTGAACTCTGGTCACCATGGCGGGAGGACAGAACTTGGGGCAGGAGCAGAGCCTGGGCACCCAGATGGAGGGACTGCAAGGGTCCAGGAGGCAGTGATGGGCTGGAGGCAGAGGAGGGGCAAAGCGAGTGCATTGGGGATAAGATTGGAAGACACAATGGACAGTAATGATTGATGTCCAGGGAAGAGGGCCAGTTGGGGCCAAGCAGAATCGGGGAAGAAGTGGGGGGAGGGAGGTGAAGCAGGTGGGAGGAGGAGGCAGGCAAGCTGAGATCCCAGCCAGGGCTGTGCCCTGGGGTCCACTCAGTGCTCACCTCTCCCCCAGCTCGGAGCTCTGCTGCGCGGCCTGCATGGGCTTCTACCACTGGGTGATGGTGGTGGTCACGGGCGGCGTGGGCGTGGCAGCCACCCTGACCCTCTGCAGCCTCCTCATCTGGCCTATTCGCCTGCGAAGCTGTAAGTCCCCCATCCCATCACAGGGGGGCCTGCGGGGGCGGGGCAGGCCACACACACACACACTCACTCACGTCTTTTTTGCAGGGGACCCTGGAGCCCAGCCTTGAAAGCCTTCTCACTCCTACTTCTATGCAAATATGATCATGTTTATGCAAATCGTGCCACAGGGTACCGCCAGTGAGGCCTCCACATCTGCCAAGCCCCTTAGTGACCCTGCGGGGCTTCGGTCAGTGCAGATGGAGGTCCTGATATTCCATGGTGTGGACAACACCTGGCCGGGGGTCTGACACCCAGGGGCCTGTGAGTGTCCAGACATGGAGGGCCTCCCCATCCCTTCCCAGCTCTCTGGATTGTGTGGCCTCTCCGAGGATTATGGGGGGCAGGAAGGAAGACTGACCCCTTCCTTATGATGGAGCTGGAGCCCCTCAGGGCACACTGTCAAAGGAGCTGGCAGAGCCCAAGGGCAGAGGGGTGGGGTCATAGGCTGGGCATGGAGCCCCGGCCAAGGCGGGCAGCGGGACTGCCCAGTGGTCTAGAGGCCCACTGGGGCGCAGGGCCTTGAAGAGAGTGAATAAACAGCGCCCTCAGGGACCAGATTGCCTGCCTCAAGAGTGGTTTACAGGGGCGAGCTGGGCGGGACAAACTGGGACAGCAGTGGGGTTGGGCAGCTGGCCCAGCTGATGCAGGATGTGTCTTCAGCCTTTGGACCCCTTGCATATGCACATGCCTCCCCCATGCTCCACTCTCCACAACCCCCCCAACCAGTTGCCCTCATGTGTCAGAGAAGAACTATGCTCCAGTGGCTTTAAGTGAGGGAGCACTGCAATCCCAAAGGTGTGTGGTTCAAATCCACCAGCTGGTTTGCAGGAGAAGGATGGACATTCTCTGTGTAACTGACTGCATCTGAAAACCCGCTGGAGGGTCAGCTATGAGTCGGTTCTGACGGCACCACACACAGCCATCAGGATGTGATTGCCAGGCCTTTCTTCCCAGACACTTCTGCACAGTCTTAAAACTTGCAAATTTTTGGTTAGGAATTGAGCACACGCATCATTTGCACCCTGCAGTATCTCTCCAATGCTCCACCTGCGCCTAAAAGAAGGTGGAGGACCCGCGGAGGTTAGAGATGGAGAGGGGGCGCAGGCTGTGTGAGAAGGTGGAAGCAGCGTGTTGGTGGGATGGGAAGGGCGTGGCCTGTGTGAGAAGAGATGGGGCGTGGCCTGTGGGAGAAGCCATGGAGGGGCGTGGCCTGTGGGAAGAGATTATGGAGGGGTGTGGCTTGTGGGAGGGCCGTGTTGGTGAGATGGGAAGGGCGTGGCCCTTGGGAGGAGATGGGAGGGCGTGGCCTGAAGGAGACGCTATGGGGGTGTGGCCTGTGGGAGACTATACTGAGGGGCGTGGCCTGTGGGAGAAGAGATTAGGGGCGTGGCCCGTGGGAGAAGAGATGAGGGGCGTGGCCTGTGGGGAAGAGATGGGATGGGCGTGGTCAGTGGGAGACGATGGCCATGAGGAGGCTGCTAGGGGCGTGGTTGTCATAAGGACAGTGGGCGGGGAGTGGGCGGCAAGGCCTTTATTATCAGTACGTGGAGGATAGTGTGTAGTCAGGCAGTGGCCTCTGGTTGGATGAAGGACAGTAGGGTTCCAGGTTCCACTGTCGGTAGTTCTGGGTGGTGTATTGTGGGCGCTGGGGTGGAGACAAGGATGGCACGTATTCGGACACCCGTGAGGATGGCTCCATGCCGTATCTGCCCCTGTTGACCACTGCAAAGCCAAGGAAGGGGTCACCGCATGTCCCAGCTACATCGCTGGAGTGGGGCTCAGTCGATCTTTTGGGATCAGAACCTCTAGCACAGCCCCCCTCACCCGTGGCCTGAGTGGCCTTGCCTCCTGCCACCCCAACTCCCCCGAAGGGTAAATTTTCTCCCTGAAGTGGGGCAGGCTGGAGGGGGCTCCCTGGAGGCCGAGGTGGGAATGACCGGGCCCTCACCGTACTCCTTCCCCTGGATGGGTCTGTCTTTCCACAAGAGGCTCCCCCACCGGGTGCTGGGCACTTCGTATTGGGCGGGGATGGTGGGGTCATAAAACGAGGCCTCTCGCAGATGCTGGGTGTAGGCTGTGGGTTGGGAGGGTAGTGATCATTGTGGCCCTGGCCCCATCGCTCCAGGCCAGGAGGTGTGAGCGAATGGACACTCACCTGAGGGCAAGCTGTGTTCCCGGTGGTTGTGGCACCCATGCCAGTGTGTGTAGGCAGCGCGATGGGGACTGCCCAGCTCACGGGGCAGCGTGTACCAGGTGTCATGGGGGTCAGAGTTTGTCAGGCCTGTATACCACACCCGGCCAGCAGCGTCCTGGCTCATTGGCGTGTACTTCCATCGAGTGGCCTGTTTGATGGCTGGTGTCCAGCGGGGACCTTCCATGGACAGGTAGTCATTGCTGGGGGGCAGACCAGGCGGTGGTGAGCCTGCGGCAGGACCTGTGCCCACCCACCTCCATCTACCGGACTGGAGAATGGACATGCCAGTCCTCACCAAGCAGGAGAGGGTGACCAGTGGGGGTGGGCTCCCTGAGGGGCTCCTCCCATGTTTTAAGCCCCACCCCTGACCCCACCCCTCACTTTATAAGTGAGACCCTCTTCTCAAGGCTCCCACTGCACTTTAAGATGCCTCCTGCCCTGCTTACGGAGTATAATAGGTTCTGACCACTCCTATGGTCCTACGTGCTCAACCAGTTTCCTCAGAGATCAAAGACCTCTTCCTCCAGGAAGCCCTCCCACCTGCTCTAGGCCTGGGGGTGTACAGGGGTCTCCAGGTGGGGCAAGGGAGTTTGGAGGTTTCAGCCTGGCCTGGGGCTCAGGTCAGGATGCAGAAAATGTGTGTGTGGCGGGTCTCCCAGGGACACCCTGTGGGCAGTCTGTGTTTTGTCAGGGGAGTAGGAGAATTAGGGGCTCTCGCTTACAGAGGAACCTAACCAGGAGGAATGCAGGGTCCTGCCGAGGAGGGAAGAGGAATGTGCAAAGGCCCTGGGGCAGGACAGCGGCTTTACGGAGCGGACACTCAAGGCCTCTGGAACTGCATGCAGAGTGGAGTGGAAGCAGAACAGAGTCAAAAAGCAAACTGCAGGCCGGTAGAAAGACAGAGGCACTTGCACCCCTCTGCAGCACAGGCAGCAGCAGCAAAGGAAAACCTTGAAACCCGTGGTTGTAACCTCACCAGTCCAGACAAACACAGAATGAAAAGACAGAGGGAGCCTGGCTCCTTAATCGGCAGGGACACCGGCCAGCTGGCCGTGCTGCACGTTGCTGGGATGGGAGGGTGGCCACATCCACACCTGGGCTAGACCGAGAGGCACATTACTCCTCCTCGTTCCTGGATGTCTCTGGATGAGGGAGGGACCTTCCCCGTCCTCAGCTTTGCTCTTTTCTCGTGTCCACCAATGCTGTTCTGTACTTGGTGTCAGAAGCTCATGCAGCTCTGAACTCTGCTGGGTTGAGCTGGCCCTGCAGTCATGCCCTGGGATAGAGTGGGCACCACCTGGGAGCAGTGTTCCCTTCGCTGGGGACACTGTCCTTGGGTGCCTGGGTCAGCAGTCACTGGCACTTTGCACCAGCCAGATCTGACTGGGCACCGGGCACCACCAACTGCAGGCTGGCAGAGTCCTCACCCCTCGCCAGGTGGATCCAAGGCCCCTCAGAGGCCAGCAGAAATGCGGTCACAGGTGGGGTGTCCCACCCCTGGGCAGACAAAGACAACACCACAGTGTCTAGGATGCAACAGACAACCACAACCAGCCAACAAAGCAGGACGAGATGGGACAAAAAACTGATGAAGATACAGAAGGAAGGCTCCTGGCAAGGAGTGCAAAGGAGAGCGACTCAGATCCACCCTGAAGCTTGAGAGGGACACACACACACACACACACACACACACACACGCGCGCGCGCAAACAGCACCTGTTAAACCATACAATATTAGATAAAATTAGGAGCAGTACAAAAACAGAGAAGTTCAGAATATGAATATTAAGAAATTAACAGACTAGAGAGAGCGCTGGTGGCCTGGTGGCAAGAAGCTGCCGTACAGTCCCGAAGGTGCGTCGTTCGAATCCACCAGATACTTTGCTCCAGGAGAGCCAATCCCTTCCTGTGTCAGTCGGATCCAATTTGACGGTTCACAAAAAAAGAAAAAAAAAAAAGAAGCTGCGCTGCAATCCTGAAGAAATTTAAAAAAGACTAACAGAACTGGAGAAATAGGCGTTTTTTACTTGCAGAGAAATGAGCCGTCTCTCTCTCTCTGGGATCTTTGCTCTCACATTTAAAAAGCAATCGCAGAAATAGATGCTGTGTAGGAAGGAGAAAGGAACAGAACGGGAGAAGCGGACACAGCAATGTCTCAGTATTAAGGGGTCAGAGGTATAAACAGGAAGAGGAGGGAAGCCCGCCCGGGAATCACGTGGGGAAGCATCAAGACGGGTAACTTAAGATGCGGTGGGGATTCCAGAACAGGAAGCAAGCAAAAAAAATGCACGGAGGAAATGGGTCAAGATTTGCTGCCTGAAATGTTCCTAAACATAATCAGAGAAGATGTATTCAAGGAGCTGAGTGAGTCCCAAAAGAGATACCCCGCAAGAAAAACCTCTAACAGGACAGAACCCCCCAAAACAAACTCCAAAAAGGATGCTGTTCGGTGCCACTATCACTCCCAACGACCCCGTGGACCGCAGCTCCGAACCTCGCCCTGTCCTGGGCCAGCTTTATCATCTCTGATAAACTCCAGCCACTCTTCCAGGTTCTGTGTCAGTCCATTCTCTGAGGGTCTTCCTCACTGAGCTTTAGCCTTTCCCAGCATGATGCCTTTTTCCAAAGACTCGCCCCTTCTAACAACACGCCCCAAGCCTGTGAGATGACCTTCCACCGTCCCAGCCTCTGAGAGCCCCTGGGCTGCACTTTCTCCAAGATATAGTTGTTTGCTTGTTTGTTCTTCCCCCCCCCCGCCCCAAGATTAATTAACATATTTATTTTTTATTACAAAACCAAAAATAAATCCAAGCAAATAATAAACTAAACATGTAACCTGATTGAGTGTCCCATCCTGTGTTCTCGTTCTCTGTCCTAGGATTTAGGAAACAGTTCAAGTTTCAGCTGCTTTGGCACCTCTCCTGGATGCTATGAGGTCTTCATCTTATAACCATGCTTCTCTAATTCAGCTCGTAACTGATTGGAGAAGTCATCTTCTACATTGTCATCATCCAGTTATCTTTCCAGACATGTGCATCTTCATCTTCCTCTAAACCAGCCCAGTCTTCAGCAGGGAACTCTTCGAACTCGTCATCCTCTCCCAAGAGGCCCAAGTCGACTGGCTGCTTTTTCTCTGACTTCGTGCACCTCTTCGTTGACCACCACCCAGGCCAACTAGAAAAGGTGATCTCTCAAGCTGGCTCCCAGCAGCCACCAGCTCGCCTACTGCTTCCGAGACGCCGGGGAAGGGTGTTTGTTCTTTTTTGGAAGTCCGGAAGGTATCCAATACTTTTCTCCAACACCACAACACAAAGGCATCAATTCTTCTCCTGTCATCCTTATTCATTGTCCAACTTTCAATGGAAAGGAAGGAACTTTCTGATAGGAAGGAGCTGGAAAGGCCATGACTTGCACCTTAGTATTTAAACTTGATGCCCTGGAGAGACCTTGATAGCTGAGTTTCCCAATGCAATACATCTTTTGATTTACTGACTGTTGATTTTGGATCCAAGCAAGATGAAATAGTTGACCTCAATCTTTCCCCTCCCCCATCTGTCATGATATTGCCTGTTGGCCTAGTGATGAAGATTGTTGTTTCCTTGATGTTGGGATGTAATATATTTTGAGGGCTGTAGTCATAGACCCCAGAAGAAAAAACACCAAAACATATAATAAAATTTCCCAAAATGAAGGACAAAGAAAAAATACTGAAAACCTGAAAAGTGAAGCATCACCTACAATGGAAAACTAGTAAGTTTAAGTTCTGATCTCTCAGAAACTATGCAGGCAAGAAGGAAATGGGATGTCATGTGTAAAACTCTGAGAGAAAAAAACCTGCTAAGAATCCTGTACCAGAAAAAATTGTCCATCATTATGATAGTGAAGTTAGGATATTTTCAAGTAAATAGAGGCCAAGGAAACCTTTTTTTTTTTTTTACTTACGCCGAAGGATTTACTGAGACAAGATTTCATGTACAAGTTTGGGTTGGGGGAGGAGGGCAGCGGTTATAAACAGAAACCTTGGAAAGGGGGGACCAAAGAGGGGGAATGGGACTCAAATGGAGTGAAAGAAAGAGAGGAGGAGAGTGGGGGCGGGAGAGGAGACTGAGCGTGACAGGTGCCAGTGATAACAAGGGAACTCCTGACAATTAGATCAACCCTACAAGAAATCCTACAGTGAGGCTTTGCCCTAAGAGGTAACACCAACAGTCAAACCCCAACCGATGTAAGTGACGTCACTCAGAAGCTGACTCAGACAGAAACACATGAAGCACATCAAACATATGGCACTGACGTTTAAGATACCGGTAATAACGTTGTTGTTCTGTGCCATCGAATCGTCTGTGACTCATAGCGACCCTATGTACAACAGCTCTGAACCCCGCTCTATCCTGCACCAATCTTACTGTCTCTGACACACCCACCCCCATTACCCCAGTCACTGAATCAATCCACCTCACAGAGGGGCTTCCTCTCCTGCGCTGCCCCTCCACCCTCCCAAGCGTGACATCCCTCTCCAAGGATTGGTCCCTCCTGGCAACATGTCCAAAGTATGTCAGACGGAGCTTCAGAATCCTTACCTCCAAGGAGCAACATGGTGTCATCCTCCGTAGGATGAACTTGTTTGTTCTTCTAGCTGTCCATGGTGTATTCAATATTCTTCTCCAGCATCACAGCTCAAAGGGATCAATTCTCCTTCTATCATCCCTAGTCATTGTCCAGCTTTCTGTTGTATAGCAAGTAATTGCAAAGACTGGACTCTTTCAGGCCCACCTTAGTCTCCAGGCTGACATCGTTGCTCTTCAGTACTTTGGAGAAATACCACTGTATAAATGAGGACACATACAGTGAAAGCAGGGAGAAGGCAGCACAGTTACGGAATTAAATGGGAAAGCACCCGTGGAGCGCCAAGCAAAGTGAACGATTAAGCAGAGTAACTTCCAAGAAAATCAGTGAATCTTCTCATCAGAATAAAAAGAAAAGCACGGACATTTAGCAAACATCAATACCAGCAACACCAATGATAAAAAAAGCCATATGCACGATGAACGCGGCCCAGAAAAGCAGCTAGAATAGCAATGTTCACAATGCCACGAAGGTGTGCAGGAACGCTCGTGCCCTGCTGCCGGGCGTGGAAAACCACAAGCCATGCAGGAAAGCAGTTTGGCATTTCCCCCAAAGGGTGAACGTCGAAATCCCA